ACCAACAAATTTCAGCGTTCAACCACGCAAAATTGATTAAAACCCTGAACAAACCACACAATCGAACACTACACCCTCATATTCACACGCTTTCCTCTGTCAACTATAAAAATCGAAAATGGCTGCACGTTAGAGGGTGAAAAACAACGGAAACTGCCATTTCCCTCGTCTTTTTTCCCGCGTACAAGGTGTCGCGAATGAAAATGCCACTTGTTATGCCGACACATCGCTTAGTTATTACGTCACGGGAATCGGTTTTTCCCCCCGGTGGAGCGTTCCGCTTTAGCCGAGCGTTTCTGCGTTTCTCACCCCCCGCGAGAGCGTAGCCGAGAGTCAGTCGAAAGGGACAGACATTCCGCGCAGCCGGTGTTAGGCAAAGTTAAAGTTTACACCGGCTCTGTCTCTGGAACACGTGATCGCGCCATGTGTGGAACCGAACCTCTGGCCCCCGTCCACGTATTATGACTGCTCGTAGGGCACGTTTGCGGTACGCCTGTCTCTCGATCTGTTTCGTCTTATCGACGCGAGGCACTAACTCGCTGTGTAATAATTTTCAGCAAATTTTTTGAAAAATCGTCGAAGAACGAATTTCAAAGTAAACCGCTTTGTCAGTTAATTGAAAAATTCGCAAACGTTGCAGTTTTGTAATTTTGCTATTGGAACCAGAACGTAGTTCAACCCTTTGGCTCCTTCCCTTTTTGGTCACTGGGTGAGTGATGAATTCTAGGAATTTTTGATAGAAATCGAATTAGATACTCGACTGGAGAACATGTGCAGTATTTCATTTTGGATTTCTAAGTTGATTTATAGCAAGTTGGTTAGATTGATTTAATAGACAGGTCGAAAGACTTTCTGTCTCAGTCGGAGAAATGCTATTTATCGCAGCATGTTGAATAAAACAGCACTTCCCCGACACCGAAGAAAAATGAAAAACCTCCTACAGCATTCGTCTTAATTTCTTCTCGTCGTTAAAATCGAATTATCATCTCCTCTAATTTCACCAGACGTGCAACCAGTAGTTTGTCACGCTTATTACGCGTGTCTCTCGGCGAAAAGTACGGGTTATTCGACATGCTCACGGGCGTATTATAATTGTATAAACAAGTCGGATAGATCGTGGACCGTTGGACGAGAGACGCTTTTACGTCGAAGTTCGCGCATTCTTCGGGGGACTAAATGCTCGGTAATTTTCGGGCATTACCCCAACTGGTTAATTCGTGTTACGTGAAGCGGGGGGAAGAAAAAGTAAGACGCAACCGGCTATTTCCCCCGGTGGAAATGATTTGCATTTACTTCACGGCGATTACGGAGTTCGTGGCTAATAAAATTTGAGCAGCTCGAAGACTTCATCATCGATATCGCACGCAAATCTACGGTGCAACCGTCAATTTGCTGCACGCGATGCCGATCATCAGTGTGAATTCTGGTAATACCGTTTGCCCGTTTAACGGGAATCTCCATGGAGGAGGAGACGAGACTTTTTAAACTCGAACGTAGCGAAATTCTGCCCTCTAAACTCATAAAGACACTTACTGTTAGTCGCGTATAGCGGTTGAATAAACGACGTAGCCGTCCGAGGTGAAAATCATGGGCTGTTACATGACTGCCAGGTATTACAGAAAAGTCTCAGATCGCCCTTTGGAAACAGTGCTTTATTCACGAGGCCTTGCATTATGTAAACGACTGGATTTTTAAACAAAGTACAGTAGAATTGCGATAATTTGGCAAGCGAGGGATTTTGGCGACGTGGGAGTATTGTGTAATACAGTCAAAAGGAGGGAAATAATTTTAACACGTTGAGTGCCGCGGGGGCCGAAGATTGGTAAAGGCATTTAATTCGAATAAATGGTAATATTCGTAAAATTTTCATCTAATGCATCACACTGTGCTGTATTAAAATAAAAAATTCATTTCGGCGCTGTGGAGAAGTTATATCAAATTGGTCCAGCATTCAACGTTAAAAAATCGCTGTAATTAATACAGTAACGTTCTTCCAATGAAAATGAATTCAAACACGACATAAATTTGACTAATCGGTAACAGTAACATATCCAGTATTCTGAAATTTCAAACTCACAAACATCAATATTTCTCTAACACTGCCAAGAGATTTTTCACCTCCAACGAAACTTCACACCTTTCACCCCGATCCTAATCCCAAATACCAGAGAAAAAGGAACTTTCCTCACCGTCGTCTTCCCCTCATCCTGCCATAATTCCCGTCGGTTAAGCATGCACACCACGAGGATCCCGAAGCCCAGCAGTGTGCCACCAGCAGCCAAGGATATCGCGGAGAGGCGCGCGCACGAGAGAGAGAGCGATCCGGTGACATCAAAGTTTAATAAGCGCCATAAGCCGATCCGAACTGCGGCTAAAACTCGTCGAGCAATAAAAGCGGCAATAAAGCGTTCGCCTTTCTCACGTCCCGTGGGTGGAGGAGGAGGCTGGGTATAAAGGCGAGAAAGAGAGGAGAGAGACGGTGGCGAGCGTGTTGTAAACGGGAGGGGCTGAAAGGAACCGGTGGTGTTCTCTTGCATGGTGGTTAACCGAAAGGTTAGAAGGGCGGGAACGCATTAGCGGTGGAAGGTGGCGTGCTCATAGAGACGTCCGGTCGCCCAATTACTCCCGCATTAAATCAATGTTCGTACGGGGCCTGGGCCATTCCGGCAGCCCGGTAATAAACCGTGGCCAACATATCTGCACGACTTACGGCTCATCCCTCGCGCGGCAGCCACCCCCGCGCTGCGTCGCGACGCTGATCTAGGGGGTGAACGCGGCCCGCCACGCTCGAGAAATGTCCTCTCTGTCGTAATATTTGGCTTTAAATCATGTCGCGCTGACAGGCCCCAGTTTCTTCGCACCTTCTGATTCATCCGTGCGACACCACGCGCGCCTCTCATCCTCTTCCGTCTTTATTTCTTCTTCCCGTTCTTTGTCTCTCCCTTCTCTCTCTCTCTCTTTCTCTCTCTGGAGAAGTTCTTTCCCCTTTTGCTCGAAGTTGGCGATTTTTGCGTTCGAACTTTTCGAAGGAAAGATGTTGCTGCAGAGGATCAATTTATTTTTGGAAGCTCCTCTTTCGTGCTCTAGGGTGGTTCTTTTTTTTTTGTTTTAAAGGGGAAATTGGGAGTGGTGGGTTTAGTCTTAATATATGCATTCAGAAAAAACTGCGATCGTACAGTGTGCTGCATGTCGGTTTTAAGTGTCTATATGTAGTTAGGTACTTGTGCGTCATGCTGGATAGACAACTGTTTACATCACAGTGTAAACAACTGTCACGGAGTCAGTATTAGAAATAGCATTGCAACGATAGAGATAGTAACCCTGCAAAAACAAGTTACTTATTAACTCGTTAACTGTCTCTTCAAAGTCATTAGCAATTCGTCATTAGAGTCAAGTTCACCTTCTCCCCAAAATCTTATTAGTCCAACACACGTCGCAGCGAACACAACGTTTTCTTCTCTTCACCAAGTTAGTGTCTTATTATACACAAATCCGCGCGTACATAGTATCACCCTTGCAAATAGATATTACATTGTAAGAATATAGTCAGCGATTACTTTCGCACCTAGATTCCAACAATCAGAGATACGAAAAAATGTTGTCACGTTTAAATTTTTAAATGGAAGCCTATACTTTTTATTGAATATTTTTACACCTAATACCGAGACTAATACCGAGTATTTTTCGTTGCTGAGTTGTTAACTTTCAAAGTTGACATTTGAGGAAAATGTAATTTCGATGTGATTTCGTTTAAGAACAGAATGGATGTATAGAAATCCGATTGTACTTTAACTCGTTACTTTGGATATTTTCGACATTACATTGAGATATTTTCGATTAAAACGCGAGTACTCACTGCAAGGAGTGACGAATTGAAAAGTTTGCAAATTCGTTAGGCAGAGTAGCTTTTCGAGGGTCTCGCGCGGGACCAAGTCTGAAACCAAGTGAAGTCTATGGCCGCGTTCAACCGTGAGATTAGCCCCGCGCACAATTTACGACGGCGATCTTATTCATAGCTAGGCTTTCATATAAAAGCTTTTTCCTGTAAGCTGCGATACATTCTTTCGGCCGTCGAAGCTGGCTCAAAGGGACGCTCTAAAGATTCGGCACCATAACAAATTAATATCGTCGAGTTTGTTGCATTCGCGGGGAAATTCATTCTTGCGTGCAAAACTTGCCGCGTGACTGCATGCAAATTACACTTTTATCAAATATTGGGAACTGGAATGTTGGGAAAATTTATTTGTTATTTACATTACTTATTATTTTAAATTTATTATATTTATTATTCAATTTAAATTGTATTTTTTTTTAATAAAATATTGTCCTTATGTTTCACATGAAAAATAATTTTAGTAGGAAAAATATTTTTTTAGAATATCATTGTGGAGGGTACGTCGTTGTCAACAAACCCTTACCGAACGTCGTTCTATTCTTCCACGCGAACTTTCTCTCTTCCAACTCCTTCGGATTTTAGTTTCCGTTCTTTTGTCTCTCCCCGGGTTAAGACTTGCCTTCGTCCTCGAGCAGCTTAAGAAACGCACATGTGGCATCCAGGTTCGCACGAGGACGAACGAATTTTCCGTTTCCACCACTTTCTGCACTTCTATCTTTATCTGTCGCTACTCCTGTCTCCCTGTCCTAACAATATAAAAACCCAGTACGCCTACACCTCCGTTCAGTTTTTCCCTTTACCAACCATCGCGACGTACCCGCCGAACCGCCACCTCCGGGACAATTAACGAATAAGACACTTGTATCTTAATAAATTGAGGTGAAAACAGTGCAACGACGTTCCTCACCCACCTCAATCATATTAACGAAAATTGTCTCTCAGTTTGTTCCTTTACCGACCATCGCGACGTACCCGCCGAACCGCTACCTCCGGGACAATTAACGAATAAGACACTTGTATCTTAATAAGTTGAGGTGAAAACAGTGCAACGACGTTCCTCACCCACCTCAATCATATTAACGAAAATTGTCTCTGTCTGTTTCAGGTATCGAGATGACGCTCTCTGTTGGACAGACAGGTAAGACGATTAACACGACCACAATATCTGTCTAATAAAGAAGCCAATATAGGGTGCGTCAATAAAATATGAGGATTTTCAAAGATCTATTATTGAAAACTCAGGATAAAGTAAATTTTATTCCACAACACCTTGAAAATCGTCATATCCCTCTCGTTCGTTCCAATCTTCTCTCATCTCTCGTTACAACACTTCTCACAAGCGTACTCAAACCAGAACCTACTATTTCGTCACAGCTCACAATAGCTCCTAAAAACAGCGAAACTTTCAACCTCCGTCTCTACATTTCTCAACTCGATCCTCGTCTCTCTTCTAAACCCACTCTCGATCACCTTACAATCATCTTCGATTCGTCGAAACGTTTAAACCATCGAAGGAACTACCGTTTCGATCGCGATTAGAAACACACGCCAATCGGATCGTACTCATCTCCGTACTTTATCCTTGAAATGATAGCCGTGAAATTAGAGTGAACGTGGAGAGGAGAGAGAGAGGTGTCAGCGATCGTCGATGATAAAAAGAGAAGACACAGGGCGTTCGAAACGGAGAGAGAGAGAGAGAGGCGGTGGATAACACCGTTTTAAACGATCCTTTCCGAACTCTCGATTTATTCGCGGCTCGCGGGGGCAAAGAGAGGAAGAGGTGGTGGTGCGCAACAGCCGGAGAAGCCAGAATGGAAAAGAAACACGGCGAAACGAGGACAGTAAGAGAAAAAGGGGCGAGGGAGATGAAAGGGGCGCAGAAAAGGTAGCGAAAACGTTGGAACAAGCTAGTGGATATATAAAGGAGAGCAGGAGGAGAGCGAGGTGAATAATACAGAGAGATTGACGTCGCGACGCAATTCCATTGTTCAAAGTGAGCTGAGGTGGAGAAAGAGAGAGGCTGAAGGAGAGAAGCCGGTGGAAGCAATGAGCAAGGCAACGAGCCTTTGCCACGAGGTTCTTGCCCACCGGTATAAATCAACTCGCGAGTGACCAAACCACTCCGCCATACGATCCGCCGTATACACCGGCTACATCAAATTAGCGACACTTCTTTCGATCGACATGTCGATGCCGGCTTTTTGCCATTCAAGGAATACTTTCTCTTCGCTCTGACTATTCGCGCGCCGCTTCAAATCGACCTTTTTTTCTCTCTCCTTTTTTTTTTCTGGACGTCGAACAGTCCCTCGTGTATCGTTCCGCTCATTTGCGTGTGCCGCGCTTTCAAACGGGCGAACGATCGGTGCCTGGGCTGTAACGATGTGTAACCTAGCAGCGCGTTCTTTCGTTTGACCGTACGCTTAACCCTTTCGCTACGAAAGACGTGTGCGCAGGCTGTAGCTAAAAGTAGGCATATTGTACAAGCGGTTAGGAGGTGATTTCTTATGCAAAAATTAACGAACAATGTGGAATGATATTTTTTTTAGCTTAGGCTTAGTTTTGGGGAAAATCGAGTTTGGATGTATGTTTCATTATGAAGCAGACCTCGGCTGAAATTGGTTTATTTGAGGTGTCGTAGTTCAAGTTCTGAGGTTTCTTTATTTCGGTGGTGAATTTATGTGTTGGGAGATATTCCAATTGTCTTGTACAGTTTTTTTTTCATGTGGGTGTGATAACGAGTACTGTTAGGTCGTCCCGTAAGTTCGAGCTGAATGGGAAAAATATTTGAATGAAAATCCGAGGAAATTCTGTAGCGACCACGTAATGGTCTTACCAGAAACTAATTGGAAAAAGTAGAATTAGAAGGTAATTACGTTTTTCTTTTAAATCAAATTTAAGTGTTGGTTGAAAATACCGATCTGAATTATAAAATTCGACAGGAACTCACGAGATGACCTAATATTTAGAATAAAATTTTTACCAACTGCATCTGACTTTCGAGTGACAATACGAAGATACCGAATGTGATCAGAAGTGAGATTATCACGCGTAGAATTTCACTGCTACGATGTTTATGGTTTATTGAGAAAACCTACCGCATCTCTCTCACCTGCCAAACACCTGTAATAATCTTGTAATTAATAACGAGCATATCTACTCGTAGAATAACTAGAAATTCTCATCGGAACATCTCGATGCAACGTCACGGAGGGAATATTTTACGATGCAACGAGGGTCGAGGAGGGTAATTTGCAAGAGCGCTAGAAGGATTCCTCGGCAGTGTTTCAGGGAAAGCCATTGTAAATGAATCGAACGGACGATGGGAAGAGTAATTAATGACGACACTCGGCTCGACGTAATTAACCGAAACTGATCCGACGCTAATTACGAATAGCCGAACCACGAGTAATTAATAACGCGCTCGGCGACGTTATCGGCGTGTATGTGC